AGCGTCCCACAGGTTGGAGCGTCCCACAGGTTGGAGCGTCCCACAGGTTGGAGCGTCCCACAGGTTGGAGCGTCCCACAGGTTGGAGGCCCCGGGGAAGACCCAGAAGTTGCTGGAGGGATTTTTCTTTAGCAGGGAACGCTTCAGATGGAGACGGATGTCTGGGTTCCTCTCCTGGATCTGTTGCCTCCACAACCCGATTACAGATAAGCAGTAGAAGATGGACAGATGAATGAAATATCACACGGTAAGTACATACAGGTTTCCTTGACAACGGGCATGCTAATCAGCAGGCAGCAGCGAGTCCCCGCAGCTAAAGCAGTTAAGCTAAATCTGAGCAGCCTTCATGAGACACAAAGCTAACTAGCAGCAGCTAACTAGCCTGACTGTGCTCTTAGCAAGGTGAGGAACGACGGTGACGGCAGTGAAGGCGGGGCCTGTCACCTGACGACATCATGGCATTGGTCTAAAGGTGTGATTAAAGGGGGTCTTCAGCCAGGACAGGGGGGCAGGATCCCCATCCTTCATGTACCCAATGAATCGACTGAAGGGAACAAGAAGTTTCACAGCAACACCACATGAATGTAGGAATGAGTAAATAATGCAGCGTAAATGAGTTCAAGCTACAGGAAACAGAAAGTTATTTACCAAAACAAGAGAAGTTACTCTGTGGTTAAACATGTGCAGGAAGACGTGGGTTCAAACCCCGAGAAGAAACTTGTCCCAGTGAAACGTGAGCTAAACGTGAGCTAAATGTGAGCTAAATGTGAGCTAAATGTGAGCTGAATGTTTCAAACAATGTTCCATGAAGTTCAGCTCAAATGAACACATTTCTAATCCAACACATCTGAATTAAAATCTTTTACACATTCTCAACCAAACAACTCATTAAAACATCTGGAATAAAAAACCTACAGCAAAACGACTCCTTTAATGAATGAATGAACAAGAACTAGAAATCATCTTAAAGCCCTCAGATCTAAACTTCACATCCAACATTTCTATTTTTAAAGTAAAACATTTAACATCAAAGGATGTTTGTTTTCTGCACTTTAATAAATAATAATAATAATCATCATCATCATCATTTCTGACCAGACCCTTTAATATTAGTAGTTTCTACGACTGCAGAACAAATTATTGTGACAAAAACAAAAACTGCTTATAGGAGCTAAAGATCAGCTAAAATTCAACACTTTACCTGACAGATTAAAAACAGGCAGGTTCAGGCTTCACCACTGCCCGGACTAAATAATCTGTTTAAATCTCAAAAATAAAATGATCTTCTTTAACATTCATTAAACCTGATAACTGCAATTTAATCCCATGTAAAAACTTGGATTATTTAATCTGTGTTAAAACCTGACAACTCTGCAGTTTAATGACAGGTAAAAACCTGGATTATTTAATCTGTGTTAAAACCTGATAACTCTGCAGTTTAATGACAGGTAAAAGCCTGGATTATTTAATCTGCGTTAAAACCTGATAATTCTGCAGTTTAATCCCAGGTAAAAACCTGCATTGTTTAATCTGCGTTTAAATCTGATTATGCTGCAACTTAATCCCAGGTAAAAGCCTGGGTTATTTAATCTGTGTTTAAACCTGATAACTAGTTTCATCCCAGGTAACAACCTGGATTATTCAATCTGCGTAAAAACATGAAAATGATGCAGTTTAATCCCAGGTAAAAACTTGGATTATTTAATCTGTGTTTAAATCCTGATAACTGCAGTTAAATCCCCGATAAGAACTTGGATTATTTAATCTGTGTTAAAACCTGATAACTCTGCAGTTTAATCCCAGATAAAAGCCTTAATTGTTTAATCTGCGTTTAAATCTGATTATGGTGCAGTTTAATCCCAGGTAAAAGCCTGGATTATTTAACCTGTGTTTAAACCTGATAACTAGTTTCATCCCAGGTAAAAACCTGGATTATTTAATCTGCGTTAAAACATGAAAATTCTGCAGTTTAATCCCCGGTAAAAGCCAGGATTATTGAATCCGGCTCGTGTAGTGGGTCAGATGTTGATCAGGGTCCTGTCTGCCTGTAGTGGTGAGGTTGTTAAAGTAGTAAAAAGGTGAGTTTTACCTGACACAGCCTCCGTCCAGTCGATCCGAACACCTCTGAAAAACTCCCGACCAGAACACATCAACAGACACGAGGCATAACAACTTCCGGTATAGGATTTTCACAATTAAACAAACATTTGTTCATGGTTTACCGTCTGTCGCTTCTTCAATTCAACTCGTGAATCTAAAATAGGCATTTAAATAAAAATATTCACACTATTTTATTACTGTTTTATATGTATTATATATTTTCTTATTACAGCATATTTGGAAAGTTCAGATCGATGTTCTCATGCATTTACATTTATTACAGGAGCTTCTAAAGACCTGAGTTGAAGTTCATTCCCTCTCATTTGACATGAAATGATCGATCCAGCTGCTTCTTTATTAAGGAAAATTGTTTGTGCAACTGTGACATTTAATTTTTGCATTTATTTTCACCACACAGAACCAGACCGTTCAGCTGTTGTGCCGTTTTTTTTTTTTTT